TGGAACCTATTTCATAGAAGAAATATTACTTCTAACATCTGATATATTGAATGAGATGAAGTTAAAGGGCAGATTCTCAGCCAGACTAAGTTACATAACATTATTATTATTATTATTATTATTACTACTACTACTACTACTACTACTACTACTACTACTTTGACAGTAAGTCATCTGGGGAAAGTATGTTAAATGATGACAATTAGGTATAATGATATAGAGAAGCAGGATAGTGAAGAGCAAAAGAATACTAAATAGCAAGATCATGCAAGCCTGGCTTTGGAGTTTTGAAAGACCTTACCCACATGTTCTTAATTTGTAATTAAGGTGTCCAAATTTCAAAACATCTGGGAAACCACATATTGCCTAGCCATGTAGATTGATTCAACAATGTATAAAGAACTTGCTCTGGTAGTTAAATACTGTTTATGAATAAACAGTGCTTATACTATGTCAGATGATTCATTTATCTATCTAGTCCAGCAGGATCTCTACTTATCAGCAGAGACAAGGTTTAGTCAGGATCTTTCTCTACCTCTACTTCATCTACTAGAGATTGAACTGAGAGCTTTATCATGTAAAACATGTATCTTATAACTAAGCTATGGTCTTTAACAGATAAATTCAGCAACAATATGAAAAACAATCCTTACTTACAATGTGTATCTATTATACATACAGTTTTAAAAAAAGGAGGATTGTGATTTATATAATGTCATTCTCTACTAGACTATGCAAATTCTCATCATATAAAATGTGACTTATTTCGTGCAAAATCTTTGTTTCTGTTCCTTAATGGAAGTTACTTTTGAATTAGTTTGTACAGTTGTTGGTTTAACAAGTATTTTTACAGCTGTATTGTACATGGGCCTCTAAAAAGGAGCCTCTTGTCAAAACATGTACAGCTTATCCCAAATAAATTCTAATGCTGATGTACAGAAGTTCTTATTTGTAGCCTAATGTTGTTAAAATTCTGGACAGGCACTACAGTATCAATCAACTGTACATTGCAGTTTAAGTTCTCTGTTGCTGAAAGAGTAAATGTACACCAAAATTTGAACAGACATTGAAAACAAACACATACCTCTTGCCAAGAACAATCCAACAACACCAGCAAAACCTATAACACCAAGCCTGGGATAAAATCCTGGAGGTGGAGTTTTGATCATTTCATAGCTTTCTTTAAAAAAAAAAAGCACAGAATTATTACCTATTTATATCTACTACCTATTTTCCAGAATTTTAAAATATTATTCCAGAATATTAAAATATTATTTGTATGTTTCCATTATAAATAGCTAGTTAGAACCACAACCAATTTCCTGTCATCTAACTTCCACTAAACGAGTTCGAAGAAATATATTTTCATTGTGTTCTTGTGACAATCTTGTTGGGACGTTTAGACTAAGAAACAATGACTGACAAAGAAGTATCAATCAGGTTTCATGTGTAATCGGGATTTGAATCAGGGTACACCTGCCATAGTCTAATATTAACAATTGGGCTCTTTTGTTTTCCCTGTTCTTTTCTGTTTTCATCTGTTCTTATCTGGGCTGCAAATATCTAAATGACCACAAAATAGGAGCATAAAAAAGAAAAAGAATTACTTTTAAAAGTTGCAATAAAAATTGACACTAATTAGACGAATTCAATTTTATTTGTTTTCTAAATTTCTATACCAGATCTGTTGTCATTGTTCATTGGTAATTAGTATATCATAATCCATCTCCCATGTTAGCGTTACATTTGAAATGTAACCATATGATATATTTCTAACATTGTGTTAGTTAAAAAGCTTTTTCTTCTCATGGAATTTCCTGATATCTAGACTGGAAGTTTTTTAAAAAAGTAATTTGAATGTAATTTAAAACTCCTGTATCCATACAGGTAGATTTAGATAGATTTAGAATTTTGATCAAGTTTTAGACTCTTTATTAGGTTGACATACTTTCTCATACAAGGAAATACAGTACATTATACATCAGAATTTAATTTAGTGGACATAAGGCAACTTTTAAATCCTTTGCAACAAAAATATACCTTATTTTCAGTTCCACATCAGAGGACAGTGGTGCTTAAAAGTTTCTGAACCCTTTTGAATGTTCAATATTTCTGCATAAATATGACCTAAAATGTGATCTGTTCTCCACATGTGCTAAAACTAGATAAAGAGAATCCAATTAAATAAATGAGTCAAAAACATTATACTTGTTCATATATTTATTGAAGAATATTTATGCAGAAATACTGAAAATCCAAAATTTTGGTTCACAAACTTTTAAGCACCATTGTATTTTTGGTTAAGTTATCTTTTAGTATCTCAATTCTTAGTTGAATGGATTAGTTGGATGGAAGCAGAGCCTTTACATTTCAAGCCCCAGTTACATTATTAATTACTCAAAAAATAATTGTCCCATTTCTAGATGATATTTATATCTTTATTAAGTTATCCATTTTTCAATAAAAACAAGTCTGTAACAAGTCTGAAAATTTGTTCCTATAAATAAGACGGCAAATTTATTGATAGTTTGGGATGCCTTTAAGAAATACATATATGGTAATATATTGCTTATTCTTTCAGGAAAAACAAAAAAGAAGAACAAATTCTGGAGAAAAATTTTGAGCAAGTTAACTCATACAAGAATAACTTATTGCTTTTATAAGTGTTGAACAGGAACATAATTCCCTATACATACAAAAGAAAATACAGGTAGTCCTTATTTAATGACCCTAACTGGGACCAGCAACTCCGCCACTAACTGAAGTGGTCGCTAAATGGGAAATCACATGACCGTGACTGTGCTTTCCAGCTGGAAAGAGACAAGACTACTCAGTTTCACACCTTCAGCTTTTGCTTGCCTTCTAACCACTCCCCCACTCCTTGGAGTGATGGAGTGCCTGCTTACTGTCTTGTACACATCAAAAGCAATGCGATCGCGTTTTCAGCCTGGTAGCTGCAGGTGCACCACACAAACAGCTTACTCTTTTGAAAGCCCTTCCTCTCCAGTCTCTGCAGCAGGGGGTGGGGGAGGGAAGCAAGCAATTTCTGTAGGCAATCTTTCCTTTGCCTAACCCTTTCCTGATTTTCCAGCTTCCATTACTGAGGCCTATACAACTGGGGCTTTGAAGGTGATAAAGACTGTCATTTATGCACGTCATCATCACATTTCTTTGTTAAACATTGATGCAAAAATATTAACAGTGATCCTGACACATAGATGACAGGCTTTATTACCTTTAATCATCCACCATGCCCTATCTGTTATTAAAAGGTCACCAAGTATCCAATATTATATTATTAATTTTCTGGATATACATTTAGAAAAACTAAAACTAGTGGCAATAATTTCATTGGATGTGGAAAAATCTTTTGTTATTGATGCAATGAAAATTTCTGAAACAGATTTTGCTCAAACATGAATTTCTTAATTTTTTTGATAAGTTGGATCAAGTCCTTTTCTCCCACCTCTAGGATTTTTCTAAGTGGAATTATCTCCTCATTATGTACAGGTAGTCCTCACTTAATGACCCTAATTGGGACAGCAACTCCTTCGCTAAGCCATGTGGTTGTTAAGCAAAACATCACTTAGCGACAACAGTTCCAGCAATCCCAGTTGCTGTCATTAAGTGAATCCCACACATTCGTTAGGTGAGGACCCACTTGGATCTAAGCCATTCAGTCAAGGGACTGCCTCCATTTCAACTCCCTCCATTCACCTATCTCCCCCCATCTTGTCTGTGAAAGAAGGCAATGCAAAAGAAGGCCCCAGCCGACACAGTAGTGGAGTGCAGTGCAGTGGGCATGGCAGCGGCAGGCAGGTCTGAGTAGTGGGGGCAGCTGGCGGCAGTGGGTAGGTGGGTGGCCAAAAGGTGGTTGTAAATGCGGGTGGGCCTGAATTTTGTTCATGTGACTGCAGCGGCACTGCAATGGCCGGAACTTCAAGGACTGGTCATAAGTCCCTTCATTCAGCACCTTTGTAACTTCAAACAGTCACTGAACAAATGGACATTCAGTGAGGACTACCTCTATTGTGGAACTCATCAAAATTGTTCCTTATCTCTCACCTCCAATCCTCATGTTATTAAGGTAGTTAAACATATTTCTGCTCAAAATGTAACCTAATGAAATTATCTGAAAGGATGTCATGGCCCGTTATTCCAATGGAATAATTCATTAAGTTACAGGAAAACATATGCCAAGGGAATGTTAACAAAATGGAGAGGGGGAGAGAGAGAGAGAGAGGGAGAGAAAGAGATGTACTGCTTTACTGGAATTGTTCAAGTAGAGGTTAAACAGTATCCATCAAGGATGCTTTAGTTTGGATTCCTACACAGGGTACAGGGCTGCATTCTAGGTCCCAAATGGTCTTTTCAGCTATATAAACATTTACTTACTTCCAGTATGAATGTCTACCTCTAAACAGAACTCTAATTATATAAAATATCCTCCAAATAATCCTTTTAAATATCATTCCACTGTTATCTAAAGGGTGACCTCATTCATAAAACAAGCACGGGCAGTGGGAAAGTAAGCAGAATGTACAGTGCAGTTACAGTACTTTCAAAACAGGTACAGTAACACAGAGCACATAACAGTGTATTATAATACTTCCAGAAATGCTTATAGTTTAATTTCAGGAAACATGAATTTTTCTCACCTTTAACGTATTCACATGCTTTTTCTACCCTGGGCGTAACTTTACCAGTATAGTCCTAGAGAGGGGGGCAATGTTGAAACAACTATTAGCATATTAAAAGATTATGGCATTTATTTCAAAGCAATTTAAAAACTTCAGGTCCCATACAGTGAATGAACAATGAAAACAGCATAAGTCCTTAAGCAGATCCAGAGTTGTACATTACCCAAATACTTTTATCTGTTGGAATGGTAACTGCTAGCATACTGCTGCTCATTAGTTTTGTCTTTGAAAATATTCATAAGAATGGTGAGTTTCAGTAAACACAAGTTGCTTACTTGCAAAAGTCCTTCTTTAAATTGTCACCTATGCATGTCCACATATGTATGGGTAGTGAATCTGTGAAAAACAGCTAATATCACAAGTGGAAGAAAGTCACTTCTCAGTGCCCATATTCCTGTATGTGATTTTTATATATTCCATCAGTTTCCTCTACAGTGCTAAAGAAATACAGAAGAGTACACCAAACATCTAACTGCAGATACCAGATGAAAACAATGACAAATTGTGTAAATGCACAGGTGACCACACTGAATAACAGAGTTATAGGCAAACAACCAATCTTTTTGTGGTCTTTATACATCTCACACACACAGCATGTTTAGGTTACTGGAGCATTGTATCATTGCACATGGTCAGGAAGCTGCAGCTGGTGCAGAATGTGCCAAGTCATTCACATGTTACAACTCTATGGAAGTAACTGCACTGGCTGCCAGTTACCTAATAAACTAAATTCAGTGTTTTTGTTGTGACATGCAAGGCCCTAAACAACTTGGTACCAGGATACTTGGTCTTTGGGAGAGCCCTATTATGTGTACTGAAAGCTGCTGAATGCCCTGCTCACTGGCATCTCTTCTCTGTGTGGCACCATGCCCTAGAATACTTTCCCCACTGAAATTTTGGAGGCATCTTATAGTATCTTTTAGGCACCTACTGAAAACTCATGTCTTCACTTCAGCCTTCAACTCAGAGGTGGATACTCTGACATCTTCCTGTAAAATTTATTAGAATCTATTTTTTCCCCAATGATTGAGAAGCATCTGGGTCCTGAGGTTGCAAAGCAGCCCCCACTGCTTTGAAACTCCCACCACAGTGTTTCATAGCTGAAATGAGATGCTTTTAGTAGAATGCACTGGTTCATTTTCTCAAACACAATCTTTATCATCAATGCCAAAAAGTTTGACTTCTATCTAACCACAGAATATTGTTCTTATAGCCTGCTGGATTATCCAGGTAGTCTTTGGCAAATTTAAAATGGTCAGTGATGTGCTTTTTGGAGAACAGTGGTTTCCTCCACAGTATCATTCCATGCACACCCTTCTTGACTGGTGTTTTCCTTATGGTAGACTCATGAACACTGATGTTAGAAAATACAAGAATGGCCTGCAGATCCAAGAATAAAGGACTGGAGAACAATGCTGTGTTCATTGAGTATTGTATGTCTTGTTCTTGAGATGATTTTTGTCGCATGACTACCCTCTAGAGGATTAACAATAGTTTTGTAGTTTCTCTGGTTGTACATTACCTGCCTAACCATTACCTGGATTGATGGAGGCCTAAGTCTTTGAAAATTGTTTTGTAATTCTTTCCATACTCATGAGCATCAATGATTTTATGACATCTGCAGAGATCCCTTTTGATCAAGGCATGATTCAGTTCCACAAACCTCTATTCTCAAGAGCTGCATCCAACTGTAGCAATAATATCTGTATCTCTTTTTAACAGAGAACCCTTCAAATTCACACCTGATTGTCAATTCATAGATTGTGATATGAGACTCAACATACCCACTTAAGACAGCTGATTATCCTATGGTATCACATAACTTTTTAAACAAAGACAGTGAACATTGGCACAATGTATTTAATAAAGCTGTGAGACAGAACTTCATTTTCTATGTTATTTGTTCAATCAGAATCTCATTAATCAGAAAGATGACACTCAGATCCCATTGCAGGTATTGTGTAGATAAAAATACTTCATCATTATGGAATAGTTCTAAAGGGTTCACAAGCATTCTCTTGCCACTATAAATATCTGTGCCATCTTTCATGCAAATCATGGGAGGAGGGAGTTCTTCTTGTAGGGTAGGCAGAGGGGTCTTGAAGCTCTTCAGGATGTGAATTTTGCACATCAGGGAATCAAGTCACCCTGGTCCTTATGACGATATGGAAGGTGAACTTGAAGCCCTCCATTCCCTTGACTATAATGGGGAGGCTTCAGATGTAATGGAAAGGCTAAATAAAGTTACTGAGACTCCTGATAATTGATGGTGATGAACAGGAGAGGTTCTGTGCACTTTTGATGAGTTCTGAGCCAGCCCTCAGGAACTCTGACAGGCAGAGCATATTTGGATTCAGTGAAATTGCTCATGGCACCAGAATCTATTAGGGCATTAAGTTATATTTCTGAGCTAATCTGGGTCTGTAGAGTAACAGGGATGTCTAAATGTCTACAACTAACTCTATACAACTGGGCTCCACTTAATTTTTGGGTGATCTAGCCTCTGAGCCTGGGAGCCTAGAACAAACTCATCTCCTGACAGGTCAAGATCTGGAGCATTTATGGCATCTGCTTATAAAATGCCTTTTCTCCATAAGTACCTCACTTAGTTGATGCTTTGGAATGCGGCTCTTAGCAAGGCATTCATATAAGCTGGCTAGTTTCTCCACAGTAAAGTGAGCTTTGCACGCATAGGCACACATAGGCACAACTTTTCTCAGCCAGACGTGGAACTCTTTTAGTTTCAGGTGCATGGGTTCAAATTCAAAGTTTCAGATGAATTAAAGGAGGATAAGGGGAGGAGCAAACAAATGAGAATGGTGACTAAGTGTACCCCTTAGAGTCAACAGATATTTGTTGTTCTTTTCCCATCTTATACTGATACATATTCAGGTTCCCATCACTGAGAGTGATCAGATCAAATCTTTATTATGGTTAAAAACCAGCATAAAAAGAGTGAGGAAATATGATTGGCATGATAATGGTAGATAAGTGCATTTGGCATAGAAAGACATGGTTCTCATCCTACCTTGGCACCACAGACAATTAGAATAAAACCTATTCTATCATATGATTAGAATATAAGCTGAATCCACAATATGGTTAGTTGTGATAGTGGCATGAAAATGTAGGGTAGTAATTCCTTACATGGAGGAAGAAATGCATCATGGCATAAACATAGGGTAAAGTCTGTTTTAGTATTCAACTGGTGACTTAAGTGTGGAATAAGATGGCATGTTATAGCATATTATAGATTCCTACGCCTTCTTTTTCTTTGAGAGCAGCTGGCTGTGTGAATACTTTGGTAAGTTCTACTTTCATTTGTCCTACTTCTTAGAGCTGTTTGGAAAAACAGCAAATTATCCTCATATAGGAATATAATATAATCACAAGATTTCTAATATTTTCTTCTTTTCCTAAATAAACTCATATGAAGATCACATGGCCACATACACAGTATTTTTATTCTGCCCAGATCAACCTGACTCCTGACAGTTGCATAAAATAAAGAAAGCATTAAAAAACTGTTCATACAAATGGTTCACCCCCCACACACACAGCCATTGCGTCTAAACCCAAATGCCTAAATTTACAATTTTAGCCACTTGAAGAAGGCTAATAAGGGGATCAGATGAAGTTCCAGGAAAAGGTGTTCCAAAGCATGGTGATTATCACAGAGGGCTGCCTTCAGGCCCACATTCCCCTAAATTCTTGGATGGATGCATCACTTAGAATCCCCTCCTTCCATATGCATATAAGTAGAGCAGATTCTATCTGGAGAAGACAGTCCCCAAGGTATTTCATGATTTGAACAAGTTGTTTTAATTCTGTATATCTGGGCATTGGATACAGATCTAAAGCACATTCCTTTTTATTTTCTTATAGTTGGGCTGAAGAGAGATTACCGACAGAAGAGCTAAGAATTTTCCAGCTATACATACTAGGATATGTCTGGATATATTAATTTCGGTTTTACTATGGAATCCTTAGGAGTATATCAGCAGAATAAAACCATTCCTCTAATCCATATCTGTGACACAAGACCAGAAACCAAATCATAAAAGTGCTATCACTAATTCATCTGGATTGTGACTCAGGGCACTTCTTCACAACTATGTTAATGTGCATTCCTTCTGTCTTTCAATCAGCAGAAAAAGGTATTGCCCCCATAGGCAAGCATTTTTGTGTCTCAGTGAATGAGTGGTGCTGTCCTTACAGGTTTAATATGGGATAGTTTCAGGGCAATGATTGTTGGATTCCCCAGCTTCCTTTCCCCTCCTTCTCAGCATCACCTACCAGTGGAAAAAACAACAAATTAACCTCTAAAGTGTCTTGAAGGGTGGAGTCAAGGGACTCTGAATGTTTCCTTCTGCCAGCCAACCAACTGGATTTATTCCTTTGCCATAGGACTACAGGGTTATCAGTCTCCTGAGAGACTGACAGTCTTGTGTAAAACAAACAAACAAACAAACAAACAAACACACCACAATCTGTCAGAAAGGAAGATGTCTGCATGTGCACATAAACAAAGCTCTGACCCACTTCACCCAACTTCCCTTATATACTCCAAGTGGTCAGCTGTTTTTTACAATTGTGGACATTTGATTATAGATCAGTATGACCATCAATCTCCTGGGAAACTGATAGTTCTATAGCAAAATAATAATTCCCAGCAGAAAGGCCTATTCCATACAAGCCAGGTAACCAATCTCTCTTGTAGCCTGTCAAAATGGATGTAGTTCTGAACAAGAGGATAGGAGATCAATACTGGATTTCTTGCACCTACTGTTTCACTGCCAAAAGCAATATCTATCTGGAAAATTCCATTTGTTTGCACGCTTCAGTTTACAATCAGGAAATTCCATTAACAAAATCCATAAAAAGAACCAATTAAGCAGTTTTAATTAAAAACACTTGTATCTATTTGAATATTAGATATTCAATTTTTGTTTCAAAACAAAATAAAAGCTGTGTTAGGAAGTTTATTGAATCACTCAGATAAAGTTTTTAGAAAATGATAGTGTTAGTTGGTTAGGTTGGTTGGTTAGGTGATAAAAATTATAGTATTTTTCAAGTTCAGCTTGAGCCTTGGCGACTTCATGGACACAATATGGAAGAGGTTTGTCATTACTTTCTGGGATGTTTGTTGGACTTCCCAGTGTAAGCCATAGGCCTTGGCATTTTCTGGTGTTCTCCCATCCAAGTATTAGCCAAGTCCAACCTGATTAAATTTGTGAGATCAGACAAGTTGGCTAGGCATCACCAAACTAACTGGGTTGACAAAGTAATAACACTGATATTATTGTGTTTGCAATTTAGATTGCAAGAGGAATAGGTTCTACTCATGCAATTTCTGCAAAAAAGCTATATGCTCTTGGGATAGTAAAATAATGAACTGCTGTACCTGAACCCAGGCAGCATATGGCTCCAAAGAGTGCCGCAGATGACAGATTCCTTCTTCCAGTTGTGACTGTGGATCTTCCACATACTTTGATTTTGGCGTTGGACTGGTATAGAGTGAAAGCTGTAAATAGCAGTAAACACAGTTATTATTTATGTTCCAATAAAAGTATGTATCAGGGGTCTCTCCACATGGGAAATTCTTTTGCATAAACAAGAATGAAGCAGTCTTGCCACATTCAACACACCTCCATAAAAAGAATAACTGCATCAGAAGAAAAAAAATCTGAATTATGAATCAACACACTGAAATTAGATAATGGGTAAATAAGAAAATTGTTTAGAGAAAAGACAGAATCGTACCTCATCAACCTTTAGTAGGTTCTTTTTGGAAGATTCGTTCTCAAGAGAATCAGCATATACCTGTACAGCAAGCAAGTTTAAGATACCAGGTGCAGCGATCAACTGCCTTATCTAAATATAATGAAAATGGGGATATTTTATCTGTACAACTGGAATTACACAGATACACAATCACATTTCAAACATGAATTAAGCAAAGATATTGTCAAAAGCCTGCAGAGTTTCAGTAATGTAGAAATTGAAAGATGCACATGATCCACAAAAGCACATCTCTGAGCCTCAATAAAGCTGTTCTTTGTATCTCCTGTACTTGATGAACATTATTTCAAATATGTAAGCTTCTATTTAAGGTAGAGTTGAAACCTGTATTATTGGAAAGAAAAAACACTGTACAGGAGCCAGAAACCTAAAACAAAGCACTGTGCTGATCATGGGGAAAAGCCAATGACGTTTTTCAAGGAGAGATGTAAATGTGTTTTTTAAAGTATTCATCCTCTTGATCAAATTACACGGTGCACTTTTTATGATCAATTAGTATTTGCTCTCTAATGGACACAATGAACCAATCCTAGAAACAAGGGAGTAGCAGATTTTCTTGTACAGCAAGAGCTGACTTTTATTCAAATAGTTCAACAGGAATAACTCTCCCTTTGGAAGTTTAACGCTTCTACAACCCTCTCAAAAATAATACAAGTTTAAAACAAAGCCAAAACTAAGGCCTAATACTTCTTGCCATTAGCAATGTATCAGTCACTATTCAAAACATACTAAAACAATCATATCACCAATACAGCTGTGCAGATCCTTTGAGAGGCACCTTACACAAAATACTCAGGATGGCTTCAAAGCAGCCATACTGAGCTTTCAAGGAACTGCAGTTACTTTACAAGACTAGTTATTTGGGTGTTAAGGACTCAGCTAGAGCAGCAGTGATCTGCCAGAGCTAAAAACCACACAATTTGGAGGGGAAGGTGTCTGCCCCTCTAAGATAAAGGAAGGTATGTCTATTTTAAAAAATAAAATTGCTTA